CTGGAGCCCCCCGGGCCCCTCCCAGCCCCTCACACAGCTTCTCCTCGATGCCCAGGGATTTAGGTGCTGAACTTGGGTTTGCATCGAGATGAGAGGACTTCCCCCCTCACGTGAAATCACCTAAACAGCTCCAAAAGCCAAAACCCAAAGCCCCACCCGACACAGACCAAAGACCCCTGAGCCCGTGCTGCAGCCAGAGGGGCTTCCAACTGGGTTTGGGAGGAGGTGGCAGCGACGTGGGGATGGAGGGGCCACCAAAGCAACGTGCCCCAGAGCCACAGGGCTGCAAAAATCTGCCAGAAAAAGAGCATAGCCTTAAAAAAAAAAAAACATAAATCAAGGGGGGGTTTTGCTGGTTTCCATGGCTGGGCTGTAGCAAACTGCTGGGCTCTGCTGGTCCACAGCTCTCCAGCTGCTCTGTGCTCCTCAGCCAGAGTCACGGGGTGGAGATTTGAATTTCCCTTCTTCTTAATGCACTGAATACAAAGGACAGCAAATTAAAGCACCTTAATGCAACTCTCCAGTGTCCAGCTGTACAGACTTAGTCCAAAACCATTTCCCCGTTGAAGCAAAGGAGGGAAAACAAAGAAAATTTTCAAAAAAGACTCAATCAACCCCCCCCATTTGAAGGGTTTTCTCCAAACTGAGCAGTGCTGAAGAGCTCGTGTCCAGCAAGGGGCCACACGTGTATGATAGTTGTACAGATTCGGGGTCACACGGAGCCAGAGGCTCGGTGCTGGTGGACAAAAATCTTTCTTTTGGCATAAGGGAATTATTTATGCTGGTGTTAATTTTTATGGGTGAAAAAAAAAGAAAGCATGGTGGAGGTTGTTAAATACTGTCGTCGTGTTTTGGAAGGATTAAAAATACAGTATTTTACAAAGAAAGAGGCTCTGCTCCCTGTCTGTATTGGGTTTTGGGGGTCGGGGGCTGCTGGCACAAGGGCCTGTAGGAGCCTCTAGTCCATAGGATGAGGGGTGATGGGTTCAAATGGGGGAAATTGAGGTTGGATGTAAGAAGTTCTGCACTCTGAAGGTGGTGAGACGCTGGCCCAGGGAAGCTGTGGATGCTCCATCCCTGGAGGTGTTCAAGACCAGGTTGGATGGGGCTTGGAACAACCTGGTCTAGTGGGAGGTGGAACCAGATGATCTGCCCTCCAACCCAAACCATCTGATGTCTGTGTGTCTGTATATCCCCAGCCTGGGGCAGCCCTGCCCACAGCAGCAGCTTGGGGGGGTTCTGGGGGGGTGTTTGTGTGTGTGAGAATCTGGATCTACGTACAGGTGTGTGTAGAGAGAGCTGTGTGGGGGGGGGATGTATAGAAGTGAGTGTTTGAGAGACAGCAGCTCCAGCTGTGCCCACAGAGGACCCTGTGCCCCAGCTCAGGGGGGTGTGTACCTGCTTATGTATCAGAGAATCATCCGAGCCTTTGGGATAGAAAAGACCTTTCAGATCATCAAGTCCAACCACGCATCCCTCAAACCACATCTCCACAGCTTGGAAACCCCTCCAGGGGTGGGGACTCCACCACTGCCCTGGGCAGCCTGGCACAGCCCTGGGCAACCCTCCAGGGGAACAAATTGTTCCTCAGGGACAACCTCAACCTCCCCTGGGGCAACTTGAGGCTGTTTCCTCTTGTCCTGTCCCTTGTTCCAGCTGCTCCTCCCCCCCCTTGGGCTCTAGACCCTTCCCCAGCAGCTTCGTTGCCCTTCTCTGGCCACACTCCAGCCCCTCAAAGTCCTTCTTTATATCCACGCAGGGCATCAAAGCATCAACACTTCTGTCTGCAGGTTACACCACCCAGAGGTTTGTAGCTGTGGACAGCCTGCTCAAAGCCACTTGCAGCAGCAGCTTCCATCCATTCAGCTCAGAACAGCACAGGGAAAGGTGCTGAGCTGCTCCACGGGGTGCTTGGGTTCACAACCTCTCCCTTGCACTGGGGGAAGCCTCAGTGAAATGGGGTCTCCTCACCTGCCCTGCTTGACCCCACGGAGAAGAAGCAGCTCTCATCATCATCATCATCATATGGAGGAAATCATTAATTAACTCTGCACCTTGACCCATCATGAACAAGGTGGCCCCAGCAGGGCCTAATTTGGAAAACCCTGCTGGGAATACAGCAGGTTGGAGAAAATGGGGAAATGGGAGCACAGGGGGGGGTGGGGATGGAGGGGTGGGGTGTGGACAAACAACCCAGTTTGCTGTGCAGCTACACAATGCCAGGGCCAGCTACTAAGGACCATGGGTTAAGTATAGTTGACCCAAAGACTTGTGAAAGCATAGAATCATGGAATCCCAGAGTGGTTTGGGTGGGAAGGGACCTTTCAAGGTCACCCAGTCCAGCCCCTGCAGGGAGCAGGGACATCTGCAGCTAGAGCAGGGTGCTCAGAGCCCCGGCCAACCTCACCTGGGATGGTTCCAGGGATGGGGCAGCGACCACCTCTCTGGGCAGCCTCGGACAGGGCCTCTGCTGTGCTGAGGACTCCAGAGCTGCCCCAGCACTGCAGGGGGGTCTCCCCAGAGCTGGCAGAGGGGCAGGATCCCCTCCCTCAACTGCTTCCTTTGCTGTTGGTGGCGTAGGCCAAATTCAGTATCAAATCCTGCAGCTCCCTCCATGGCTGGTGGCACTGCCCTTTGCTTGAGCTCAGCTCTAAAGTGCATCCCTCTGGACAGAGGAATGCACTGGACAGGAATTTCCAGACTCAGAGAGGTGGTCCCAGGACACCAAGAGCCCTGATGGACTCTGCTGCATCTTTCCAGGTGGCTCTGGGTGAATCCATCTCAGCTCACAGGAGATTCAGGGTGACAACTCACAGGAACACTGACACTTTCCCTTAATGCAGCAACCCCTGGTTGTATTAAGGCCCCACGTGGCTGAATTTGCCAATTTTCCTGACATTCAACTGCAAGAGTCATGATTTTTTAAGTCCAACCTACCTGAGATACAAGCAACAGGATTTTTTTTCTGTTTTAGGAGCTAGTTTCTAGCAGAGCAAAGTTTGAGGCTTGGAAAACACCCTATTTCTAGAGCTAACCCCTTGAAGAAGACCCAACAACCAGCACACGTGGTGCCACAAGGCTCTGAACAGCACAGCCCTAGGCCAAAAATTCAGAGTTTGAAAGCCAAATTCCACATTCAATGTTTATTTATTTGTCATACAAACGTGTGCCCAAATCTCGCCTGAAAGTTCTACCCAGATTGTTTAAAAAAAAAAACCAAAAAACCACCCTACAGAACATTCTTTCATCCTCTGACAGTTAAAAAGCTGCGTGTAAAAGAAACAAGAGTTTTCAGTAGCCTGTCAGAACAAGGGACATTTTTCCTGGCAGAGCATCTGCAGCTTCTACCAAGGAGAAGCATTTTCTCAAGCAACGGGGGTTATTGTACAATCAGTTGCTTATCATAAAAGAGCTGATGATAGGACTATTGTGGGGTTTTTTTTTTAAAAAATCAGAATTTCATCAAGAAAGGAGTAAAAACCCATGGAAAAAAAAATCCTGGAGTCCAATTCAGGGAGGCACAGACTCCTTGGAAAAGCCCCTTTCAAGGAAGACTCTCTTTGGCTGCCCCGTTAGGAAGATACAGCGTTTGGAACCCAAGAGTGCAGCTTGACAGACTTTTGGGTCAAAAAGGTGCGTGTGGATCATTGAAAGAACCAAAAAAACTCCCAAGTTAAAAGCCTTTTGAAATGCTGGGACACACACAAACACAAACACCCTCCCCATTTTCTAGGTATCCATGCATGATGTTGAGATATGAGCGACGTGGCGACAGAAAAAGAAACCATGACTCTAGTTGACTTGGTGCCAGTTCCTCTTTCAAAAGTTTGGCTTTTTTTTTTTTTTTTGTTTCATTTTCAAGACTTAGTGTCAATGAAGAGCTTGATAGCTCAACCATTATGAGAAAGCTGAATTTAAACCTGTATTTCCTAACAGAGCATTCCACACGTCTGTAGCTGCTGAGAACTGCTGTCGAACGCTTCATTCATAAAAATAAAATCTTAAAACTTTACCAACATCTTCAGCATTGACTGAAAGGCCTAAGAAGATGGTGAGGTATGAGAGCATTTTACTGCTCTGCACGTCCAGAGTCCAGACGTCGCTTTTCATCAGCTACCACAACACTGCCAATTGTTTGGTGTTTTTTTTTTTTACCCTCACCTCTCTCCAAGTTTGCAAACAAACGCCTGAAGCTGGGGAGCTTTTCTGAGGTGCCTTTTGGGAGGAACCACCAAAAGCATTCTGCTGCAAAACACCCAGGGGAGAGGTGTAGTGGAAACAAAACATTCTGCACGAGTTACATCCGGGATCCTTTTCATTTGGGTTGTAAAACATGAAAGAGAATGAAGAGATTCTTATCAAAAGAAACGACCCCAAAGCTTTTGACTACAGGAAAACGAGGTGGGTTTTTTTTTTTCCTCCCCTCTCCCTCCTCCCCAGACCTGCAGATTGAATCCAGAGGAACCCCAAACCAAAAGAACACACCGACTCTGTGGACACACAAGCATCCTGCTGCCTGCAAGTGATGTCACCCCCCCCTCCCCTCCCCGATAGCACCGCCACGAAAGGTTTCACCCAACCTAGTGAAACTTCACAAACTCTTCCAGAGTTCTGGGGATCTGGTTTTGGTAGCTGATGTTATAGATCCGTACTGCTCGGGCAGCCAGGCACTTGAGACTCAGCTTCATTTGAGTTTTAAGGAGTATTTCGGACACCCCCGTGGTGCTTTTATCCAGAGGGGTTTTCTTCTGCTTGTTCGTCATGTCCGTGTGAGCGCCGGCCTCCACCAGGCTGATGATGATGGAATGCAAGGTCAAGAAGTCACTGATGGGCCTGTGGTACTGGACGATGACGTGGAGAGGGCTGTTCCCCTCGCCGTCCACGGCGTTGACGTCGGCCCCACAGTCCAGGAGGAGCTTGGTGACCAGGGCGTTGGGGAAGCTGCAGACGTCGTTGGTGTGGAAGTCGTCCACGGGGGTGCTGGAGTTGACGGCGTGGTGCAACAAGCTGGAGCCGTCCCGCGTGCGGGGATCCAGGTGGATGAGGTTGTAGATCTGCTTGTTGATGAGGGATTGATCCTCTTCGCTGCACTGGGTCTTGGTAGAGATGCAGACTAAGTAGAGGAAGGTGAAAATGTTGCACTCGTAGTTGTCCAGGGCGGTGTGGAGGTCGGAGTCCTGGGTGGTTTTGATGCGGGCCATGCCCTGCTCGATCTCCAGGACGCTGCACCTCAGGACGCTCTCAATGTCCTTGGCCTTCACGGGCTCGTTCAGGTGTATCATCTGAGAGAAGACCTGAGCGAACCTCAGGAGGTCCTTGTGAGTGTTCCTGTTGCCTTTTTGCCTCAGGTGCAAGGCGTGGAGCCAGAGCTTGATGCACTGCTCGAACTCCATGTTGTCGGCGTAAACGGCGCCCCGGTAGATGATGGGGTGAGAGACGTCGATGTTGTCCGAGCCCAGGATCCTCTCCCTCACAATGAGCCCTTCCATGTGGAGGGCATCCCTGTCCAGCCGAATGGCCTCCAGCTCCTGAGGAGTCCTGCACTCAGTCCTGTTCCCATAAGCTTCGATCTGGGGCAGAACGACCTTCTCGATGACGTTCTCGCCGTCCCGGTACCTCTCCAGCATGGCCAAGTACAAGTAGTGATAGGTCTTGACGATGTCGTAGTTCTCCCTGTCGTTGGCAAAGGAAGCCCCCAGGAGCTCCAGAGCCTCGATGCGGCTCCTCTGGTCGCAGTCGGCGTGGGCCAGCAGCAGCTCCACCACGTCAGCCTTGCAGCTCTCGGCGGCCACCTTCAAGGGGGTCATCCCATGGCCGTTGACCATCATGGCGGCCTTCCACCTCACCAGCTCCCTGACGATCTCCAAGTGCCCGGCCTCGGCGGCGAAGTGCAGGGCCGTGGCCCCGCAGTGGGCCTTGGCGTTGGGGTCGGCGTGCTGCTCCAGGAGGTACCTCACCACCTCCGTGTGGCCCTTGTAGGCGGCGATCATCAGGCAGGTGTTGTCGTACTTGTTGGCGATGCTGATGTTGGCGTTGTTCTCCACCAGGTACTTGACGATGTCCAGGCGCCCGTCGAAGCAGGCTGCCCTCAGGGGGGTGGAGTTGGTCACCGTCGTGTGGTTGACGTTGGCGCCGTGGCTCACCAGCAGCTTCACCACCCCGGAGGGCCCCGCGCCCGCCGCGCACCACAGCGCCGTGGCCCCGTCGATGACGAAGCTGGAAGGGGAAGGGTGGAGAGAAGAGGTTCCATCCCTGCTCCTGAACAGAGTGGGGAGGGGGTAGAGAGTCGTCCTGAAGAGCTCTAAGATCTTCAGGTCCAACCATCAACCCAGCACGGCCAGGTGCCCACTGCCCCACGTCCCTCACACCACATCTCCACAGCTTGGAAACCCCTCCAGGGGTGGTGACTCCACCACTGCCCTGGGGAGATTGCTCC